TGTATATATATGTATATATATAATATATATACATACATACGTATATATATATAATATATATATACATACATACGTATATATATATATATATATATATATATATATATATATATATATATATATATATATATATATATATATATATATATATATGTATATATATATATATATATATATATATATATATATATATATATATATATATATATATATATATATATATATATATATATATGTATATATATGTATATATATATATATATATATATATATATATATATATATATATATATATATATATATATATATATATATATTTATATGTATGTATGTGTGTATATGTATATGTATATGTGTGTGTGTGTGTTTATATATATACATATATATATATATATATATATATATATATATATATATATATATATATATATATATATATATATATATATACAGATACATTATACATTATACATTATACATACACATATACATAGATACATACAGACATACATTCATACATATTAATGGGTTGGGCTCCCTTTATCTCGAATAAAAAAAAATCTTTTGGCTCATCTACAAAGGTAATGCAGAACCGTACCTCTTATTTGTTAGCATGGGGGGGGGGGGGACAGACACATTTCAAAACTTTCACAATTACCTTTTTTTCTTGACATTCAGACATTTTCATTTAAGGAATGAGAACTTTATTCATCCGCTCCCTCATTCCCTGGCCATTGTCTCTCCTTTTTGTTTCTACTATTTCTCTCTCCTCGTAATCATCTCTCTCTTTCTCTTTCTTTCTCTCTTTCTCTTTCTTTCTCTCTCTCTCTCTCTTTCTCTCTTTCTCTCTTTCTCTCTCTCTCTCTCTCTCTCTCTCTCTCTCTCTCTCTCTCTCTCTCTCTCTCTCTCTATATATATATATATATATATATATATATATATATATATATATATATATATATCCCTCTCTCCCTCTCTCTTCGTCTCTGTATTCGTTTTTGAAATATCTGTTTTCTTTCTTCTTATATTTCTTATATCTTCTCTGTATTCGTTTTCCTTTTTTCATCAGAATATTCTTCTTCCTGTTTATTTTCTTCTTCGTCTTTGTATTTCTTCCTCGTCTTATTCTGCGTTTTTCTCTCCATATTCTTACACTAGTTCCTATTCATCTGTATCACCGTCTTCACCTTCTTATCCTCCTCCTTCCTTTCCTTTTACTACGTCTTCTTCATCTTCCTCTCCTCCTGTTCCTTATCCTCAGAATCATTCATATTTTCCCTATTTCTTCCACATCATGTCAACCCCCCCCCCCCCTCTAATCCCTCCTGATCCGCCTCTCCCTTCTCCTAATCCCCCCCCTTCCTTCACATCCCCCTTTGTCCTCATTCGCCATTAAACCTCGCATCCTTTGTTCACATCTCGCAACGTCATCAACCCCCCCCCCCCCCCACTACGGACCCACCCCAATGTACACAGCAAGGGATATTCACATCACACGCTCTCGACACCACATATAAGACAACCCCCGGCGTCGGACAGTGCTTGTTCCCACACCGCAGTCGTGTCTCGCCCCAAGGCACTGTCTGCACACCATAAGCTCTCCACACGGGGGTCACAAAAAAGGTCACGGAGGGTCATATGCGAGGCGGAGGAGGCAGAGGCAGCAGCAGCGATGACCTGATAATTAAACTGGAGGAGGATTCATTATGGAGGGTCTTTTGTCTACTTCCCTGACGCACAAAGCTCCCGGGGGTTAACTGACAGGCGTCTCGATACTGTGCTTGCTTTATGAGGGATTTCCATAGAGTGATGGCTAACACACACACACACGCACACGCACATGGACATGTATGTACACGTGCACATGCTGTTGTAAATGCACACGTACAGACAAACGCAGAAACATGTACATATGGACACACTTGCACACACATATATGTCTGTGTATATGTGTGTGTGCGACCAATATGTGTGTCATATAACTTTTTTGTCATGTATTTTATGTAAAACAGTGGATAAATGTACATAATTTTACCATCACGTGCTTCACTTTTAGTACGTGATTATAGACCTGTAGTTATATAACTGACTTAATTATAACTGATAAATGATGCATATAATTAGCGCAGGAATAAAGGCTAGGAGTTCTTTGATCTTTTTATTCAACGTAACTTGCATTGTCAGATAAATTTAGATCAGTGTTTGCATAGGCTGTTTCCCTCAACTGCAAATCTTGCAAAGTGAAAATTACGAAACATCATTTTTCCTGCTATCGTTTTCATTGACATTTTTATCACAAAGTAAGAGAGAGAGAGAGAGAGAGCGAGAGAGAGAGAGAGAGAGAGAGAGAGAGAGAGAGAGAGAGAGAGAGAGAGAGAGAGAGAGAGAGAGAGAGAGAGAGAGAGAGAGAGAGAGAGAGAGAGAGAGAGAGAGAAGAGAGAGAGAGAGAGAGAGAGAGAGAGAGAGAGAGAGAGAAAGGAGAGAGAGAGAGAAGGGAGAAAGAGAGAAAGAGAGAAAGGAGAGAGAGAGAAAGAGAGAAAGGAGAGAGAGAGAAAGAGAGAAAGGAGAGAGAGAGAAAGGAGAGAGAGAGAGAGAAAGAGAGAGAATGAGAGAAAGAGAGAGAGAGAGAAGGGAGAAAGGAGAGAGAGAGAGAGAGAGAGAGAGAGAGAGAAAGGAGAAAGAGAGAGAAAGGAGAAAGAGTGAGAGAGAAAGGAGAAAGAGAGAGAGAGAGAGAAAGGAGAGAGAGAGAGAGAGAGAGAGAGAGAGAGAGAGAGAGAGAGAGAGAGAGAGAGAGAGAGAGAGAGAGAGAGAGAGAGAAAGGAGAGAGAGAGAGAGAGAGAGAAAGGAGCGAGAGAGAGAGAGAGAAAGGAGCGAGAGAGACGAGGTCGCACTGCGCTGGAGGAGACAATAGCGTCCGGAGACTAGCTAGGAATGCGCGAGGCGCCCGTCAGCGATGGCGCGCGCGCGCTCTCTCTCGCTGCTCGCGCTCTCGCTCTCGCTCTCTTGCTCTCTCTCTCACCCGTCTCTCTCTCTCTGCCTGCCCCTCTCCCGTCTCTATCGCGCTCGCTCTCTCTCTCTCTCTTCTCGCTCTCTCGCGCGGTCGCGCGCGCTGCCCCTTCTCTTCTTCTCTCGCGCTTCGCGCTCTCAATTCGCTCTTCTCCCTTCTCTCTCTCTCTCTCTCTTCTCTCTCTCTCTCTCTCTCTCTCTCTCTCTCTCTCTCTCTCTCTCCTTCTCTCTCTCTCTCTCTCTCTCCTCTCTCTCTCTCTCTCTCTCTCTCTCTCTCTCTCTCTCTCTCTCTCTCTCTCTCTCTCTCTCTCTCTCTCTCCTTCTCTCTCTCTCTCTCTCTCTCCTCTCTCTCTCTCTCTCTCTCTCTCTCTTACTCGCGCGCTCTCTTCTCTCTCTTCCCGGTTCCTCTCTCGTCACTGATGCACCCGGCTCTCTCTTGTCCCGCTCTCTCTTCTCTCTCTCTCTCTCTCTCGCTCTTCTCTCTCTCTCTCTCGCGCGCTCCTCTCCCTCCCGTCTCTCTGCTCTCTCTCGCCCGTCCCTCTCTCTGGGTTGGAGCGCGCCTTCCGCTCTCTCTCGCTCTCCGCTTATCTAGCTCGCTCATCGTCGCGCGCCGCGCGCGCGCGCGCTCGCGCGCCCACAGCAACACAGCCACAACATCCCAATTGAACCGCAACCAAGCACATCAATTGTCCGCCTCGAAGATTTGTCCTACTGTCACTCCTTCCAACCGACTAAATACAACATGGCGGCCGGCCAACCGAGCCCGCGCCCCACAGATATTCAACATTTCAACTAATAGAGCAAGCTTCTTAAGATGCTACTGCCAGCAGATAAATCATGATGGAGCTTATGTACTCTAAAGTCAGCCGACCGGATTAACGCAGCAATGGCCATAAGCACATGATAAAGAAACGTGTGGACCACATCAGCTATAACAGGCTAACCACACATAGATCCTCCTCAACCCCCACAAAAAACCCGACCACCATCGCCAAAGCACCCGCACTCAAAAACTATTGATTCATGATGACAGACCCCTTCTCTTCCGACCATGCAGACCCGGTAGCGTCAATATCTTATTCAGGGGGTGTAATACAATACAGAGAGAACCCAATTTTATACAAACACGAATATATATTCATCGTGAGATAAAGAATATAGCCTAAATCAATGCTGCCACTCAAGAATATTTTTTTCCACGGCGCGCTAGGCCAGTTATAGGGAATGCAGGATATATTCCATGCAACTGACAATGCAATTGTGCGTAGTGTTTTGACTAACAAACAGTGTGTGCAAGTGTGTGCGCGCGCGTGTGTGATGTAGTATGTGTGTTGAGAGATAGTGTGTGTAGAGTGAGTGTAGTGAAAGACTGAGAGAGATGCAAAAATGAGTAGTTATGTAAGAGAGAGTGAGAGTAAGTATGAGTGAGTATGTGTGAGTGAGTTAGTGTGGTGAGTGTGCTGTTGTTAAAAAACCTATATGATGGTGCACGCTTTAACGAGCATTACCATGACTTCTCTTTTCAGTATTTCCACATTATCCCCCTTAAAGGTGGCAATGCTTGTGTCATCACCACACGGACCGACCGGCGGAAAACGGACGCGGCCAAAACCAAATCAAAACCAAAATCATGTTAATAAAGAAAGGAGACAGATATAATCACAGATAATTCACAAATCCCCCTTGAGTCAGTCAAAATCATTTGTTTTATGAAGAAGAAATCCCACCAAACAAAGACATAAAAAATAAACAAAAAAGAACGAGAAATGCACAATAACAATAATGATAAATGAAAGCAAACACACTAATCACACCCTGATAAAAAAAAAGAAACTCCACCACCACCCTCCCGGCACAAAGCACAGGAGGCAGCAAGCAGTTCGTTGATCAAGCGTGCTTTCCGAGGCCCCCGTGGTTAGTCCCTCCCCTCCCCCTCCCCTGCGTCTCCCCCCCCCCGCGACGCCGAAATTCAACCTCTCTCTCTGTGATTGCAG